CAGGTCCTACTTGAGACAGAGCTCCTTGAGCTTGAGGTCCCATAACTTTTGTCTTCTATTGAGCATCACCAGCTAAGGTGGGGACCAGCTCTTCGGATCTATTGGCAGCAGAATAATGAAAACCTGTGAGGTAGCTCTGAGCTTCTGCAGTTGATGGAGGGAGTGCTGCTCCATGACCTAGGACACCTGGGTTTCCCACGGGACACTGCTACTGATTAGTCCAGTGACCTAGGGAAGGGGACCAACTCTGAGCCTTAGTTTTTTCATCTGTGAAATGGTGAACTAGCTTTTCTTCAGCCTAACTTATGAAGTTGGGAAGATCAAATGAGATGATGTACACTTGCAGTGCATTCGGCAAACCTGTGTTACACTTGATAATCGACTTCCTGATACAGCCCAGTGAAAAGGTGCTGACCCGAGTCTCGATTGTTCTCCCAGGCAGAGTGGACTCATCGGCTGTATGAGCTTTGGGGTGAAGTCTCTCCTGACTCCGGACAAGGTGAGTCCTGGGGAAGCTTCTGTCAGGGTCATGCCCCCTAAGCCAGCATTGGTTTTCCTGGAAACCCTTGGGCAGGGCCTCTGTTTGCGAGATGGTGCCCTACTGAGACAGGTGCCTTGTGGCCTGAAGAACAACACTGTATTTGTCCTCTGTGTGACCAAGGGTTCGGGTCTCCTTGGTTTGTTTTTGTCAGAGAGCAGTTGTTAGGAGGCGCTGGGTCTGGTGTCTGCCACTAAGGACGCTGGCAGCTCCCTTGGAGCCCTGAGCGGTCCTGGGACAGCCCTGGGGGAGGAGTATCAGGTTGCCTCCTAAGGTCTGCTCCAGGGGTCATCTCGATGTCATCTACCAGGTCCTGTGTTTTGTGGTCTAGCAGGTGCCCAGGAGTGAAGGGAGCATTTCCTTCCGGCTGGGTGAGGGGACTCTTGGGGTCTAGAGACCTCTCCCCTGGGCGGCCAGTCCCTTATGTGTCTCTACTCTGCGCTGCACCCCTCAGCTGGAGGCTTTTGAGCAGGGGAGGGACGTGCTCCTTTTGCACATCCCTGGGCATGTCCTGGTGACCTGCTGCATGGAGTTGCCAGGTGGTCATGTCACCGAGCTTTGTGTCCTGGAAATGAAGTCTAGTATTGGTGGTTGAGGACCCTTTATCCTGCACGTGGGTCTCTAATGTCTTGACTGCCACCTGGGCTTTGTTCCCTGCGGCAGATCTTCCGCCCTGGGGACTTCTCAGGAGCCTCAGGGTGCCATCTTTCTGCTGTCTCCATCACTCATTTCTTCCCTCCCTTGTTCTGTCAACACGTATTGGCTCCTACTGTATACCAGGTACAGTGCTAGGCACATCAAAGAGTCTGTGCACAGCCTAGTGCAGGAAGCAGGTGTGTGAGTAAACTGCTCTTCAGGGACCAGAGGCTGTGGGACTTTGGCAGAAGGGAGGGCCAGCTCTGTCCGTAGCATCAGGGAGGGCTTCCTGAAGGAGTAGGCATGGCAGTTCCTTTGGGGGCAAGGAGGCTGGAGTGTCCATCTCTGCAGAGACACTGCTCCTGAGGGAGGATCTCCAGCAGCTGCTTTTTGAGGGGGGCTGGTTGCTGCCTGACCTGTACCCTCTGCCTCCTCTGAGAGTGTCATATCTTCTCTTGTGACAGGAGATCAGCGGCTGGTACTACCTTCTGGGGGAGCACCTGGGCCGGACCAAGCACCTGAAGGTGGCTAGGCGGCGGCTGCGGCCCCTGAGAGGTGCGTGCACACCGCCTTCCGCCCCTGCCCCACCATGGCTTCCCCTCTTCTTCCCTTCCTGGGCAGTAGCTCCAGTGCCTGTGTTCTGTGGCAGCTGTCACCCCAGCTATGATCTGACCACGGGTCCAGGTACTTCTTATGAGTACCTACTAGAATGTAGGGGCAGGCGGCCTCTGGCCCACGTACCTTTATTTATCTGGTTGGACTTTCCTTGGAGAGGGTTATAGGCCTGACCCCATGTGGTTCAGCCCCATCCTTAGCTCATGGAGAGATGACTTCAGGAGCTTCCCATATCCCCCTTCCCAGGGTCCGTGGCTGCAGGATCACCCCGGCTGCCTTGCTAACGTTGGGGAACCCACCTCTGTGGATAGGGCACATGGGCCTGGCCATGAGTCCTGAGGTTCAGGACTTGGATTTCACATTTCCCCCGCTCTGACCTTCTCATACACAGCCCTGGCTCCTGAGCCCCTGCCTGACCTGAGCTCGGGTGTCCCCGTCCTTGGGCCAGGAACGGCGTGGGCAGCCCCATGGGCCTGGCTCCCTGGCCTCCTGCTCTCGGTGGTCTGTGGAACCAACTCTTATAGGCCAGCAGAAACTTTCCAACGCTGTTCTGTTGCCTTCCAGACCCGCTGCTGCAAATACCAGGAGGTGGGGACACTGAGAACGGGGGAAAACTTAAGGTAGGTGGTGAGGAGCTTGGGAGGACGCAGGGGACCTGAGCCCTGCTCCAGCCTCTAACCTGCCCCTGGTCAGTCCCTAAACAGGGAAGCATTTGGTATGTGAGGCTCAGGTTCACGGGGTGCTTGGGAACTCAGCAAGCTGGGCATTTTAACGGCTTATTTCTTAAGCTTTTCTCTGGTTACTCAGGCTGCGGGCAGGGGCAGGGGCAGGGGCAGGGAGAGCCAGGCCCTGGCGCCAGAAATGGAGGAGTCTGGATCTTCTGGCTTTCAGTCTCTTGAAGCTGAGTCCTCCTTTTGCACAGGTCCCCTTCCACAGAAAGACCCCTTGCCTTCTGTGGCACGGAGGCTGAATTACCCTCTCAGGTCAGGCCCTCTCGGTGTCAGGGAGTAGCTAAGTCTCATCCTGAGACCAATGGTTCTCACTCCATCAGGACTTGGAATCTAGGGAGGAACCTTCACATGGAGGGATTGGAGAATTCCCCCAAATTCGTTCTGTCTCTTTGCAGGACATGGCAGGTGATCTGTGGTACTCTCCGGCAACTAAGGCAGGGAGAAGCAAACTCCCAGAGACTGAGGAGCCCCCTTGTGTCAGGAGCCGTTGTTATTGAATTTAATCCTCTCTGCCCCCTCTGAGGTGGTTGTTACTTCCCCAGCTCACAGATGAGTGGGATGTGTAAGGTTCAGAGATGTTAGGTTGCTCACTGTGGCCCCACACAGCCATATGGCAAAGGCAGGATGCGAAGCAAAGATGAAACACCTTTTTTAAAAATCCTCACATGAGGCATGTTTAGTGTGAAAGAGAAACATCGATCGGTTACCTCTCGTATGTACCCTGACCAGGGATCGAACTTGCAACCTAGGAATGTGCCCTGAATGGGAATCGAGTCTGCAGCCTTTTGGTGTCGGGGACAATGCTCCAACCCACTGAACCACTCGGCTAGGGCAAGGCCTGGCAACCTTTTAAATGCATTATGTTGCACACTTCCCGCATGTGGCTTAGTTGGGAAGATATGATGGTGATATTTTACACATTAATATTTTATATATACTTATAATCTATAAAATATTTTCCCTTTCATTTACTCAGTTCATTCACTTATTCATTCATTAGGTATTTATTGAACATCTACGTGGGCTGGGCCCTATCCTGGGTGCTGGGATATAGCCGTGAATGTGTCAAAGGTCCCTGCCCTCTTGGGTCATACAGTCTAGAGTGACACTGTCTACTCTGGTAGCCGCTGGCCACCTGTGGCTACTGAGCACTGGAAATGTGTCTAGTATGACCAAGGTCCTGACGTTTACTTAATTTTGATTAAGTTTACCTCGCACATGTTATCTAGTTGCTACTGTATTAGTAGCACTGTGTTAGAATAACTTGAAAGTTACTGCCTTCTGTGGCTTTGCTAGAAGTTTAAGGCTGTCTTCCAGTTTCAGTGGAGGAGCCGCAATGACCTTTCTCCCTCTCTGTACTTGCTGAGCACTGAGGACACTGGGCACAAAGCCTCACTGATGATCTGTGGGGATCACAGGGGCATCAGCCCTGCAGGTTTCTAGGTGGCTTGGGAAAGTCCTGCTTCTGCACACAGGCCCTGAGCCCAGGGGGCATTGTTCGGAGGCGCATTTGCTTCCCGGGCTTGCACACTCAAAGCTGTCTGTGGGACTCAGCCATGTGGGCGTGATTGTTGGAGGCTTTGTTGGAGCAAGGGCAGAGCCCCTGAAGTCATCTATTTAACTCGCCCATCCTGCAGATGGGGAGATGGAAGCCCAGAAACTTGGGTGACCTACCCATTGTCTCAGCAACCAAACCTGGGCTGGAGGAAGGGACATTCTCTGGCTTCAAGGATGTGGGTATGTGGGTGGGGGGTGGTTTCCCTCAGGCCCTGAGGTGAGTGTCCAGTGGGCTGGGCTCACTGGGTGCTGCTGTGTAAGGCAGGGAGCAACGATGGGGTTCTGATCCAAGCTCCATCCTACCTGGCTGTGTGACCTTGACCGCGCTAGGCCCCTGCTTCTTCATGGGTAAAATCAGGAGCCTGGATGATCTGGTAAGGAAACTGACATTTAAGTAGCTGCTGAGTGGCAGGCAGGTAATCAGACTCCAAATGTTTCATGCTCCCTGTCGTGAAGTGATGTCTGAGGGTTCAACCCTCCAAAGTGTGCTTTGATTCTTTAGGCGGGGTAGGTCCTCTGGATTTGCCATGGGGACCCCGGGATTTGCAGAGGGGGGCCACCGTTGTTATAGAGCAGGCCGTGTTTTCTGCCTGGATTCTCCTCTGGCCAGGAGTGTTTGTGAGAACATTGGAATCACAAAGTGGCCCATGGCGGAGAATGCAGCCAGAACAAAGGCGCCCTCTCCCCGCTGGGCCCGGGGAATACTAACTAGTTGACAGGAATTTTAATATAAAACTCTCCCTCTTCCTTGTCATTCTGAAGTTTCAGGAAGCCTTCGGGCTTATCGTGCAGAGGCACACAGTACAGACAGGGCTTGGGGAGGTGAGAGGTGATTTCCTGCCATTCTTCTGAGGGGCGGGCTTCCCAGGGCGGTCATGCCAGGCTGACGGGGCGCAGTGTGGGCTCCCGCTGCTCGGGGGGAGAGCTGGGTTTTCATGGGGCAGCAGCCGAGGCAGGACCTGCAGCCATGAACCGCTTCAATGGGCTCTGCAAGGTGTGCTCGGAGCGCCGCTACCGCCAGGTGGGTGCTTGGCCCTTGGGGAGGCTGCCTGGGGTGTCGCTGGCAGGGAGGAAGGGGGTCAGGGTTGGACTTCTCTCCCCACAAGACCTTCCTTGTCCCCGCCTGCGCCTCGCAGGTTCATTCTGATCCAGGGGGAGCGCAGAGGCAGGGGCTGGACCCGAGATCCGGGCTGGACCCGCTGCCCCTCTCCAGCGGCAGATGGTCCTAACCACTGGCAGGGTGGTGCCCCTCGTGAGATTATGTATTGATTTTCTGTTATTTTTATTTTGTGGGAGTATAGGTTAAAAAAAGCATCCCAAGCCTGAGAATAGAAATGGCTAGGTGGCTGAGCGGCTGCGTTTTGTGTTTTTTGCTAAGTTTGTGTTTTTGCTAACTTTCCCTACTTCCGATGGGACAGCAGTGCCTGTTCTGCACTGTGTGTGTGTGTGTGTGTGTGTGTGTGTGTGATTGTGGGTTTCTGCCTCTGTTGGTGTGTGCCTGTATGTGAGACAGGATGTTTCTGTGTATATGTACACACGTAGGATTTTCCACGTATGATCACCCATGGATGTGCACACAGGATTTTCCTCTCCAGTGACCCTTGGAGGCAGAACCAGAGTCCTCTGGCCCTGGAGCCCAACGTCCCCAAGAGGGTCTGGCCCCTCAGCCTCTGGTCTTAGGATGTAGGGCTGAGCAGGGGTGGCGATCGCGCTGAGCCTCTGCTGGAACTTTGATAGACTTTTTTTTTTTTTTTTTATAAAAAGCCACAAGGTCAGCAAGGACCAAGGCAAAGGATGCCCAGATTTTGAGACTGCCGCGGTTGGAAGGGAGTTAAGAAATGGTTCTGATTTGATAAATACAGAAAAGTCCTACTGTGTGTTTTAATGACCAGACTGGAAGCTGGATGTTGGCTCCTCGGACAGGCAGCCTCAGGTCTGAGGGAGACGCCCAGAGGGGCCTCCTGCACTGTGACCCTCAGCCAGAGGACTCGCATGCTCTCCCTGTAGTCCTCCTGCCCTGCACGGCCCAGCCATGCACGGCCCAGCCGTGCACGACCCCTCCCTGCCCTCCTGCCCTCCTGGAGCCAGGCAGGGCAGCCCCTGCCACACCAGCGTCTGGATGGCAGAGTGGTGAGGCTGAGAGGCACTGGGTGGGAGGTCAAGAAGTCCTTGGTCACCTTGGGACTGCGGACCAGAAGACTGGGGCACATTGCAGTCGGAATGGTGCCAAGCAAGCGTGTGGGCTGGGCCTGGGGCCCTGGAGCTCTGGAGCTCAAGTTCAAGACAGCCCTGCGCTAGTAACCAGTGTAGTGTTGAGAGCACCAGCTTTTTGTCAGAACTGGGCTCAAATCCAGCTCTGCCTCGTTCAGCTGTGGCTCTGGAGCACGTCATTCTTCTTCCCTGAGCCTCAGTCTCCCTGTCTGTGGAAGGGGATGATGCTGTTCACTGATGATGCTGGGAGAATAAATGGGATGTTGTGTATACAGTGCCTGGCACAGCACCTGGTATGTGCCCTCAGAAGGTGTTCAATAAGTGGTGGCAGCTGGGGATGGAAGCCTAGACATGGGAGGGACCCTAAACCAGGCAGGAGAGCAGGAGTGAGGTGCCGGTGTGGGTGAGATTCGGCAGCAGTGGCCGTTCCTGCCCAGGGCAGGAAGGAGCAAGGACCACCCCCAGGAAGAACGGCCTTGGCCAGGAGCCACCAAGGTCCTGGAGTCAGGGCAGGGTTGCTGCCCTCCCCTCCTGAGCCTGAGGCCTGAGGTCAGAGAGGAGGGCTCAGAGCCGGGGCCGCCACTGGCCCACCTCGGGCTTCCCTTTGTCTCTCTTTACCATGGGCGTCCTGAACCAGCTTGGTGTTCCCCTCAGTGATGACCAGGTTCTCCGGACCCTGTCTTCTCAACGTGGCCAGCGCTCATGGTGGACAGAGAAGGAATTGTTTCCTTCACTTGGTCCCACCCCTTTGCTTTCTGGTACCCTCACCTCTTCCCGTCTTTTCCCACCCCCAGCTGGTTTGGACTGTTGTCCTAGCTGGTCCTTCTTAGGCTAGTGCCTAGGAAGGCAGAAGGAGCTCCTGTCCACAGTGCCGCCTGGATGAGGGTCCGGGGTGTGGGGGTGGGAGGCTGTTTTGCTGGATCACATGACTCAACTCTGGGACCAGTCCCCAAACTGTTAGCTCTGAGCCCATGGGTGCTAGGAGCTGTTTCCAGAGTCTGCACTGAGGTCGGGTGGGCTGTGGCCCTTGTGAGGTAGGACTGGGGAAGTGCTGGCAAGAGTTTGGCATCCCAGCTTCTGCTTGGGTTGAGGGTGAGTCCCCAGGGCCCTCAAACCCCTGCTGGTCCTATGGAGGGGACCAGGCTCCTGACAGCTTCCCTCAGCCTGCGCTTTCCGCACTTACTCCAGAGTTTGTTTTTCTTTCTTTCTTTCCATTTTTTTCCCTTCCGGTCTTAGCTGTGTGTTTTCCCAGAATTCTTATGGGAACAGGGTATTTTCCTGCCCCCTCCCCCTTCCCCTTGTCTGTCAGGTTTCCTGTTTTACAAACTTGCTTTGAATCCAGGCCCAGGGCTGGTGGGAAGCAGAGCCTCAGGGACCTCCTGGTAGCTTCCAAGGGCCTTGGTCATCCTAGGCCCCTGGCCCTCTCCTTCCTCGCGCCTGGCCTTTGGGACAGCTGGCAGGTGAATGCCAGGCACCCAACCTTGAAAAGACAACCTCTCAAGGAAGGAGAAAGAGTCTCCTGACAACAGGGCTGCCCTTGACCTTTTCCAGTCTTGCTGAGCTGGCTTCCTTCCCAGCCTGCCTGAGACACTCTCCCTGGGCCTCACCAGGGCCTACTCCACATCCACTTCCAGGGAGCCTCTTGGGGCCCCACTGAACCCTTTTTCTGGATTTTAGGTCTGTAGCTTTCATACACCTGCTGCCAGCAGCTTGGAATTGCTTTTTGGGTGAACCAGGCTTGGCCTTCTGCACTTCACCCAGTGCCTAATTGGGGATGCACAGAGGGGGAGCACAGCAAGGCTGAACTGAGCTGAGCCAGCAGCCTGCACCTCACCCCCACAGCTTCCTGCTGCCAGCGGGATGCTGCCAGGCTGTCCTCATTAACTTAGCACTTGCTGAGTTTCTGTGGTGCCCAAAACCAAACACAAAGGACCGTTCCTAACACAGTCTGCATGTTTTGCTGTAATGCTTGTCATGTCCTGCTTTGTTTTGGAGAGGTCTGTGTACACTCATGCCTCTCTGCGAGCCGGAGACCAAGGCCTCCCGCTTCTGTACCTCGGCAGAACCTGGCATGCAACAGAAACTCAATAATTGTATTCTAAAGACCATTTAGATGGCATAGCCCTTTCTGGGGACTTCTGAAAACAGGGGTTGCGGAGCTGCCATGCACATGGGCCTTAGCAGGCACAGTGAGGTCAGTGGCAAGTTCAGCTTCAGCAGGGAAGCCTATGTCCTCCCTGCCCCCTCACCTGGGAGCCCTCTCTGAATGCCTTGAGGTTCTGGTGATGGACTGCCCTGAGAGTCCCAGCACTTGCCCTGTAACTATGACTTGAGTTTGTGAGTGCGTGTGTCCCTGTCTTCCCTCCCCTGTTCTCTGGAAGGGCAGCAACTAGGTGGGCTTTGTTTCTGAGCCCTCAGCACAGGGCCAACCCTGGGCCAATGCTCTGTGAACTTCTGGGGAAAGGAGAAAGGGACCAAACAAGCAGTGGGTCACAGGCTAAGTGGAGACGTGCTGGTGCGGAGGGCCCTCTGGTAAAGGGCCGCGTGTCAGCTGGGGCTGAGGAAGGCGAGGTTTGTCCTTCCAAGGCTTTTTCTACCCTGGCCTCCTGCATCAGCCTGGGTCTGCCTCCTGAGCTCCCAGCCCACAGCCCAGCGGTCAGGGTGCCTGGGCCGAGACAAGGATGGCGAGGGCCTGGCCGGCCTCCTTTTCAGCTCCAGTTCCCGTGGAGAGGAGGGTGGCTCTGGGGTGGGGCCTGTGGGCTTCCCGACTGAGGATCTGCGTCCCAGAGTAACTGGGCCGGGCTGTGTCCTAGATCACCATCCCGAGGGGGAAGGACGGCTTTGGCTTCACCATCTGCTGTGACTCTCCGGTCCGAGTCCAGGCTGTGGATTCCGGTGAGTGTCGTGGGTGGTGCCAACCCCATTCACCCCGCAGTGCATGTGGGCTTCGCAGACAAGACCTTGGAGCTGTGAGAGGAGCCCCAGAGTGGAACAAAGTTGTGTCCTGGTGTTTCAGAACGAAAAGAATAATATTTTTCAATGAGCACAGATAAAATTAAGGTTTATGAAAATATACTCACTCTTTTTCTTTTTGTTTTTATCAAAATGAAAATAAGTTTTTATATTTTGTTTCCCAAGCATTTCAAACAGGAACTAAACCTATACTTTCAATAACGGCCGCATGGGAAAATGAGTCATTTCAGAACTCTGTTTGGAATTGATATTTTATCCTATCCCAAACTTGATTAGCACGTAAATACAGGCCTTCCCTCCCTATTTTTTACAAAGAAAAGATTTTTTCTAATGCCAGTGTGAGCCTGTGAGGATGAGAACCCAGGGCTTGGCGATCCGGGTGACCCCCAGCGCCTGGCGAGCGGTGCTGAGGGATGAAGTGTGTGAGCCTGGCAGCAAGGAAGGGTTCTCAGTGGGGTGGGAGGCCTGGGAGGTCAGAGGGGCGCTGGCCAGAAGGGCAAACAGCAGGGAAATGTGAACAGGTAAAGGGTGCGTTCCTTTAAGGTTCCAGGGAGCCACCAATGTTGGCCCCTCATTTCACAGACCAAGAAACAGAGAGGGGCAGGCCTTGCCCTAGTTCACTGGGGAAGGAAAGACCCCAGGCCCTTTGTGGGGGTTGTGGGTTTGAGGAGCCCTTGAGTGCCTTTTCTTTGTCCCTGAAGGGGGCCCGGCAGAGAGAGCAGGGCTGCAGCAGCTGGACACCGTGCTACAGCTGAACGAGAGGCCTGTGGAGCACTGGAAATGCGTGGAGCTGGCCCACGAGATCCGGTGAGAGAGGCGGGGGGCGTGGCCTGGGGCCCCAGGCGGCCGATGGCACACCTCCCCTCCCCTGCCCTGGGCACAGGGCCTCATCCTCCCCTCCTTTGCCCAGCTGTTCGCAATTCGCTTTGCTCCTCAGGGAATCAGGTTCTCAGCCTGCAAATGGAAGGTTCAGGCTCAGAGCAAACAGCGGGGAAGAAGCTTTCAAACGAACCCTGCGGTTCCTGATGCAGCTCCAGGGGGTGGCTTTCTACTTTAGCTAATTATTTCTGCTACCTCAGAGCTAAGCCCATTGTTTTTAAAGGATGTGTAGATGTTGCAATGTGTCAGTTGCACAATTAAATAAATTAGTCTTTAAAATGTTTGGGTCCTCTAAATTTTGACCTGCTGGGGTAGAACCCTCAGGGCCCATTGTAGGTTTGCTTCTAGAATGGCTAGCTGAGGGGTTGCATGTGGATGGTATGCCTGCTCCTCCTTGCTTATACTTTGTCCACAACAGACGTCATTAATTGAGTTTGCTACTCTTTCTTGCTCGATTTGGCCTTGGCCTCAGCATCCCTCTCAGCCTCTGTCAGTCGATTAGAGTTGTCTTAAGGGGCTGCTTGTGCTGTCTGTGCTCTCCATGGTCTCTCATCTAACTTCCCACCCTGACTTTAGGGCCTTCTCCCCCTCCCCGACTCCTCCTCTCTGCCCCTGCAGGCCCCTACCCTGGCTGACTTTGGGGCCCCCCAGACTCAACTTCTCTATGTGATTCATCCCCCCCAGGAGCTGCCCCAGTGAGATCATCCTGCTCGTGTGGCGCATGGTCCCCCAAGTCAAGCCAGGACCCGATGGTGGGGTCCTGCGGCGGGCGTCCTGCAAGTCAACGCATGACCTCCAGTCACCCCCAAACAAGCGGGAGAAGAACTGCACCCATGGGGCCCAGGCACGGCCTGAGCAGCGCCACAGCTGCCACCTGGTATGTGACAGCTCAGATGGGCTGCTGCTCGGAGGCTGGGAGCGCTACACCGAGGTGGCCAAGCGCGGGGGCCAGCACACCCTGCCTGCGCTGTCCCGTGCCACTGCCCCCACCGACCCCAACTACATCATCCTGGCCCCGCTGAACCCTGGGAGCCAGGTATGGACAGCTGGTTTGGGGAAGGTGAGGGGCTTGGGTCCCTGTGTGAGGCCAGGAAAGGACTCAAATTTGTGCGGGGAGGAGCCTGCAAGGGGCTGGGAACATTGAGCAGGGAAGTGGGGTATGTGCCCTCCCCACTGCTGCGGGCTGTCCTGGGTCAAGAGAGCAGGCAGGTCTTTGTGGCCTCGGCACAAATCCAGAACCAGGGATGCCACAAAGTAGAAGATTGCACCTCAAAAGAAGGGAGGGCTTTGTGCCAGTCTGCACTTTTCCACAATGGAAAGGGCTGCTGTGTGGCAGGTAGCGAGTCCCCTGTGACTAGAGGTATAAAAGCAGATGCTGCGTGATGGCAGGGTGGGATGATGGATTGCATGTCCCCCAAACATTAATGCCTTGAGATACTCTGGGAAAAAAAGTGTTCTGAGGTCAAACAAGTTTGAGAAGTGTCCCGGTGCATATTAGCCAATTCTAGGTGCTGAGGGCGTTCAGCAGGGGAGACGGTGGTTTAGCCTTGAGCCTTGTTTAACTTGGCATTTCCCCGGACTCCTCTGATGTGCACCCTTTGTGACTGGGTGGTTAGCATCCCACGGTGCCAGTGTTCCACCGAATGCTCTTTGGAACAAAGCTGTCATCAAGGAAGTTGGGGACTTGGCCAAGGGATTAGACTTGTTAACAGCTATAGCCTTGTTCAACTCTAATATCCTGGAGGATTCTGGGTTCTGTGTTCCTTCTGAGCCCCCTCTCAGCTTGGTAGCAGGACTGCTGTGTTGCCTCGTGCCCCGGGGTGCTCCTTCCCCGTCCCCGTGCTGGCGTGAGCAGCCTGCCGGGTCGTCCTGCCCCGTTCTGGGGCCTGAGGTGGGTCTCCTGTCTTTGCCTTGCAGCTGCTGCGGCCTGTGTACCAGGAGGATGCCATCCCCGAAGGTGAGTGAGGCCTCGGCTGCTGTGCCCTCAGAGCCCTTGAGAGATTGCGAGGCCAGCTGGGTGGCCAGGCCCAGCCTCCTCCTCCGAGATCGGAGGCCTTCTCCACAGAGTCAAGGTGCCCCCGCACGTTGCCCCAGGCTCTGCCTCCTCTCGGTGCGTTTTCTCCCTCACTGCCCCACAGTGTCTTTCTGCCGTGGAGCCTGCCTCAGGGGGAACAGAGGGGATCTTACCAGAGCGTCTAAGAGGTGGTGTTTAGGACTCAGGCATTCAACTGAGAGTCATCCAATTTTACTGTGCAACCAATACATGTTAGGTGTTATAGGCAGTATGGTCAGGCCCACGTGGAAGGAGGCATGGAGCTTGGAGCTGGGAGGTCGCAGCTTGGAGTTCTTTCTAGCTGTGTGACTTCGATCAACTCTCGTCCCTTCACTAAGCCTCAGTTTTTTTAAATCTATAAAATGGGGCTGATAATTCCTACCTCAGAGGGTTGTGGGAGGGTTAAAGAAGGTAGTGGTTGTGGGAGGGTTAAAGAAGATAGTGGTTGTGGGTGGTAGCCTGTCTATCAAGGGGTGCTCCACAGAGAGTAGTTGTCTTTGACGTGTGCAGGTGTCTCTGCTGTTTGAATGATTCTCCTCCTTTGGCCTTCAAACCCTGGCCCTGTTTCTTTAAGGGCCAGGGAGAGAAGCTGGGCTCAAAACCAATTCCCTCTCTTAGGAAGCCTGAGGTATCAGTCTTGATGCTGGAGCTGGCTGGGCATTTCTTCAGGCCCCTATGCGCCTGCTGGAGACCCCTGACTCAAGCATCCGGGAGGTTGAGACCACCCTTGCCAGGTGGTTCATGGTGCCTCGCCGGGATATGCCTGAGCCCTTCCTCTAGTGCCCGCAGAATGCCCTTTGACCTCCTTCCTCGAGAGTGACCTTTTCCCAGCCACTTGCACTTGTGTCCTTGCCATCCGCCCTATCGGTCGGGAGAAGGTGATGCTTGCTTAGAACAGGTATTTGGAAGCATGCCTGTGCCTTCTCGGGGGGAAGGAGCTCCCATCAGGCTCAGCGCTACTGATGGAAGACATCTTCGTTCTCCCCTGGCTGGGGCATTCGGGCCTGTTCTGTAGAAAATGAATCTGCATTCTTTCTGGAGAGAGGTCTGGTAGTGATTCCACCCTGAGTTTTAAAAAGCTTGTAATTGGTACATTAGGTTAGAGTGGAGATGCCACTGCTAAATGGCGACTTCATTAAGGGTAGGGCCCCGGCCGGCTTGTTTCTGTGTGCAATGCCTGCTGCGGGACGGAGAGCAGGAGCACAGTAGAATTTCCACTACTCAGCCGACTGAAGGAGCATGCCTTCGGTCGCCTCTAAGGGCTTGCAGACTGGCCCTGGAATAAGGGAGCTGGACAGGTATGTCTCCTGTGTTGGGCCAGTGGCTAGGAATCGGTCCTCTTTCGGCCTGAGAGGTGCCCCTGAGTCTCCCTGCTATCTTCCCAACCTGTGTCCATGTTTCAGTTCCCCTCTGAGAATATACTACGTAGTGGCCCAAGAAAGGCAGAGTCATCTAAGCTGTGGGGAGAGGGACAAGTAAGGCAACGAGGATGACATTAGTAGTGCCAGTACCTTTCTGAATGTGTTATATGAAGAACTTGTCCTTCCTTCATGATAAAAACCCTTTTGATATCCAAGAACATCTTTGCTCTTTACCAGGGGTCAAGTCTTCATAGCTCCAAGGCCTGGGGTTCAGAGGAAGGGGTGGAATTCAGGGCGCAAAGCTTCCTTTAAACACACTCAGGGATCTCCAGAGGCTAAGGCCGTCACCACTGTGGCGGCTCCTGTCCCCTCCTCTGGCTGGGCTGCCTGGCCTCCTCTCAGGAGGGAGGATTGAGCCATCCTGAGGTGAATGGTGTCTGGTGCCCTTCTGGGGCCTGGGGTGCCTGCCTGCCTGTGTTTGGCATGTTCCCCAGGGCTGCTGGTCCCTCAGCATTGTCCACTGCTTTGTGAAGTTGGCCCAGCCTCAGATTAGCCTCTGCTGGTGTGGAATGACAGCCAGGGCTTGCCTCAGAAGCTGGAGCAAAGCCAAGTAATTACTGTGTTTGGTCAGTGAAGCAGGTGTTAGAGCAAAAAGGGGTTTTTTTATATGTGGGGGTTTGGAGCAGAGACGGTAAGGGGGTAGCAGGAGGGGAGTCAAAGTAATTTGCCTTCACAGCACTCAGTAGGTGGATTGTAATCGGGATCGTTTTTTAAAAAGATACTTTAAAAAAATCAGTTTTGGTGACCTATGCCCACTTGCCAAACATCATCAAGGGGTTTGTGGAGATGGGGCTTGAGGGTATGACGGCCATGCAAGTTGGGTTGTTCCTGCCATGTACCATTTACTGGCCAAATGACCCCAGGCCTCGGCAGCCTTGTCTATGAAACAGAGCTGAGCAGACCTTTCGCACCTGAAGGCAGAGGTGTGTGCCGAATGTGCCGTTCATGGTCGTCCAGGCCCAAGGCCGAGAGACTGACGGCCCTGCGCGGCTGGGCTCGGGGAGGGAAGAGATGCCTTCTTTTTATTTTCATTTTATTTTTAAAAAATGAATTTAAATCCTTACCTGAAGATATGTTTATTGATTTTAGAGAGGGAGGAAGTGGGGGGTGGGGGGAGAGAATGAGGGTGGAGAAGGAGGGGGGGTGGAGGGAGAGAATGAGGGTGGAGAAGGAGAGAGAGAGAGAGAGAGAGAGAGAGAGAGAGAGAGAGAGAGATTGATATGGGAGAAATATCAGTTGGTTACTTCTTGTGCTTGCTCTGCCTGGGGATCGAACCCACAGCTGTTTGGTGTACAGGACGATGCCCCAACTAACTGAGCCACCCAGCAAGGGCAGAAATGCATCCTTTTAAACATCTGAGACTAGGGGGCATGGTGTTCGGCATTAGCAAAAGTTATCTTTCTCTAATTTTGTTCTATTTTGCCTCAGTTCTCTGCCTATCAGTCCTGTGTGGTTTTGCCTTCTATGGTCTAGGCTTGCCTGTGTGCTATCAGACCGTCTAGCCCCAGGCTGTCCCTGTGACCCCAGTCACAGCGTGGTGTGAGGCCCAGCAGTCCTGTCCTATGCCAGCTGGGATGGGTAGATCGTTTGTCTCTTCGGGTTTGTAGTAACCACTTGTGCACTCACACTCTGGTACCATTCACCGAGCCCTTTCCCATCAGTCTCTCCTGTGCGCCCCCGACACTGGCCCTGGGACAGGCGAGGCGGCGGCCTGAGTAGCTACACTTTGCAGCGGAGATGGCGCGGGCTTAGAGGGGGAAGGAACCCACTCAGGGCCGCAGAGCCAGGCTCTGGGGAAGCAGTGCTCAATTCGGGTGTCTCATCCAAGTCAAATTACAGGATGGGGTCTTTTTTAAAATTTTACTTAAATTTTCAATGACAGTTGACATTCCATATTATTTTAGTTTCGGATATTAGACATTCATGTAATGTACAAAGTGATCCCCTGCTAAGTCTAGTACAAGACGGGTTCTTTCAGCAAAGGGGCCAGGGCTGATGTCAGGGCCAGGGCACACAAGATATGTGACTTCATCTGTGTGGTTCTCTATACACCCCTACGTGCCCACCCCCACCCTGGACTCAGGCTCTTTCTTCTCTTCTCTTAGTGCCTCCTGAAAAGGCAGGAAGTGGTTTTAGTGATGATGATTTGAGTGCTGCCCCAAGATAGGCAGGGATAGGTGGTCACTTGGGGGTGGTGTTGACATGTTTTTCTCACCTCACTTGATGAGAAGGGGTGTGAGGTGGGCGTAGGAAGCAAGTGTGAAACCTTCTGAGCTGAGTTTTTCCTCTGAGGTTGTGGACCTCGCGTTGGTGGGGAGCTTCCCCGAGATGTATCTGGGGTCAGGACACCTGTTTACCCCCTGGCTTCCAAGACGGGGTGGCAGAAGGAGACCTTGGCCCCAGGACATGCAGGTCAGGGAGGGCTGGTCAGCTGCCCACCAGGCAGCGGGCACCCTTGGAGGGGCCAGGGGCCTGTGGAGCCTGAATGCTCCAGAGTTTGCCTCCTACCTGCTTGTGTCCGAGAGTCCCTGGCTTTTTAGTTCCTCTGTGTTTTGCTCCTCTGCCCATTGGATGGGACATGATCAAGTCCTGTATGCCACCTCTGTTCAATGTGAGGGTGTGTGTCCAGCTGTGTCCCCTTCAAGAGCGACCCCTGCAGCCTCCTGTTCTCTTTCCCGGCAATGTCTCCCACCCCTTTGTCTTCTTCTTTTTCTGACTGGAATAATTTGTGACTTAGTGGTCAAGCTGGGAGGACATTGTGGCTGTGACAAAGCCTAGGATTCCCAGGCTCCCTGAAGCATCTGATTAATTTGCTTTTCCATGTGGAGAAATTACAACAACAAGCACCACCATCAGCTGGCAGCTTATTTTAATTGTGCACTTAGAGGTCCCAGGCACTGTTCTAGGGCCTTTACTTGGAGCATCTCATATAATCCTCGCAGCAACCCAGTGGGCTTGGTCCTGTTGTAGTTGAGGCAGGCAAGATTCTGAGGGGGAAGCGAGCTGCCAAAGGTCACCAAGCTAGTAAGCAGAGGAGTGGGGTTTGGGCACAGCCACCTGGCTTCTTGCTGGCGCTCTTTTGTGACAACTGAAACAGCAGGCGCCTCATCCTGGACTGACTTTAGTGAGCCCGGCTGCTCCAGCTCCCTTGGCTAATAAAGGCCGGACCTCGATACACCCTGGGAAAGCCCACTGTCTCTGTTGCCACTGCAGAGACTGGCTTTCCAGACTCTTTGTTCATGGGACATGGGAGGTGATGGAATGGGTGAGTGGCACAGGGTGTATGCGGGGAGTGGCAGGGATGGCGGAAAGCAGAGGGCATGAGCTGTGCCACCCGGGCAGTCCCTGCTCTGCCCCAAGCGATTGTTCCAGGTGGGACGGTGGACCCGGTGAGGTCAGACCTTCTGGCTTATCAAATATGAGAGATTTCCTGATTTCATAAGTATGAGGCCAAACTGATAGGCTGATTTGGGCCCTGGGTCGCCAGATGGGGTCTGTGTCCTCCATCACAGTTGGCGGTTTCCAGCTCCATCCTAGCTGTGCGGTTGGTAGCTTATTTACATGTCCTCATCTCTCACACAGTCTGAGGGAAGGACTTGAGGTTCAAGGCCCTTCTGAGGCCTCCCTATAGTCTGAGCACCTTGCACAGGGCCTGGCATATAGCAGATGCTCACAGCAAGTGGCTGATGACTGAGCCTGTTCCTGTTTCTCAAGGGGGGATACCTTTGCGGGGTAATGGAAATGCCTCACGTTCTCCCATCTCTGTCCTACAGAATCAGGGAGTCCCAGCAAAGGGAAGTCCTATACAGGCCTGGGGAAGAAGTCTCGACTGATGAAGACGGTGCAGACCATGAAGGGCCACGGGAACTACCAGAACTGCTCGGTCATGAGGCCACACACCCCACACTCAAGCTATGGCACCTATGTCACTCTGGCTCCCAAGGTCTTGGTGTTCCCCGTCTTTGTTCAGGTGAGCTGGGGGCTGGCCCCAAGGACCCCCTCTGGGGGAGATGGCAAACAGGAGGATTGTTACCCCAGGACTCAGGGACGGGGGCTCCTTCCAGGACTGGGGGCCATCTTTAGGGAGAGACAAATAGCATCAGTGCTCAGGATCCTGGGGGTTATACAGAGGGAGCACAGGTCTCCAGGAGGGGGAGCGGGAGAGGTGGGGGCAGGGGAGCCCAGCAACAAGAGGGTCTTTTCCTTGCTTCCCCCCAGCCTTCCCTTTCTCTGGGGAGGGGCCAGGCACTCTGCTCTTGCTTGTTGTACGGGCTCAGGGCCTGTGTGCTGAGGCTTCTGCTTCCTGGCTCCTCTACTGGTTTGTTGTTCGGCAATGACCAAGGCAGAGGCTCGAGGTCTGGCATCTTGTCTGGTCTCTTCGGTCTAAGCAAACCTGTCAGGCCAGCAGTAGCTGGAGGCCTGAGATTCACTTAAATCTCCCTTTTCCTACTTTTCCTTCTTCTTCCCTCTCTTTCTCCTTGTTTTCAAACCTTTATTTCACCACGCAGATCAAACCAGTGTGAGTATTTAGGTGTCTTTTCTGTGTGCATGTACACATTTTAAAAAAAACAAACCCAAACAGGTCTTATTGTACATTTTATATACTGTTGCTCTTTTTAAAGGAAAATTGCATGGACATTTCCTACATCATTAAATACTCTTTGAATCTGTATTTTGTAGTGATTGCATACTCTTCTATTATATGGGTGTTCCATAGTTATTTAACCAGTTCTCTATTCCGACACTTATGTGTCTAACTTTTTTTGGTATTATAAAATAACTCTACCATGAATCGCCTCTCTGATTATATTCCTTGGAAGAGATTCCTAGAAGTAGACTGACTGAGTCATGAGTCATAAACGTTTTAAAGGCTCTTTATACATATTGACAAATTGCTCTCTATAAAGATTTGATTCATTTAACCTCTTGTCAGCAACACAGTAGTGACAATGTCCCAAGGGCTTCATTTCTGACCATTACTTCCTTCTCTTGTCCTCTCGGCATCTGAGTCTAGGCCTGTCACTATTGAGTAGATCTTAGACACATTTTTTTAGGGCACCATGCACCTCTGGCAGGTGACATGCCTCTTCCAGAAAGCTCCATCAGTAGGGCTTTTCCTCTGCCTTCCTCTTGGTCTCTTCTCTTTCTTGGGATGTAGCCACAAAGGTCTTGGCATCCATGGGGGTTATTTTTTGTTTGTTTGTTTTTAAATTTTTACAAAAAAACTGACATAAGTTTTTTAAAAGTTGTAAAAAATTTTAAATCATAAAATATATAACCCTCCAAAATGGCACAACACTTAAATGTACAGTTCAACAAATAATTATAAAGCGGATATTCACTAAGATAAAGGAAGGACCCTCGCCACCACCCCAAGGCCGCGTATGTACCTCTTCTTGATCAGAACACCCTCCTCTCCAGCGGATGTGCCACTAGCCTGGCGTTATGACAATCATTTCCTCTCTTCTCTTTAGTTTTACCATCTATGTGGGCTTTCCTAAATAACATATTTGGTTTGGCCTCTTTTTGAATGTTTTTTAAAAGATTTTATTTATTTATTTTTAGAGAGAGGGGAAGGGAGAGAAAAAGGAGGGGGGGAACATTGATGTGAGAGAGAAACATTGATTGGTTTCCTCTCGTGTGCCTTCTCTGGGGACACCCTGTACAGGGACAGAACCCGCAACCCAGGCATGTGCCCGACCAGGAATCGAACCCATGGCCTTTCGCTGTGCGGGGTGATTTCCCAACCAACAGAGCCACATTCGTCAGGGCAGGGCTTGAATGTTTTTTAATGGAACCATAGCACATGTATTCTTTTGAGTTCTGCTCCCTTTGCTTCACATTATTTGTAAGACCCATCCAGGTAGTTGTGTGTCATTGACGTTTATTTCAGTCTCTTTCCTCCAGCACCTTGCTTGGTGTCCGGTGCCTGAAAGCTGTGTTATAAATATGCATTCATGAGGCGAAGTCCTGCTGGGGAGTCCAGAACTTAGGGAGCTTTCTCTGGGGTGGGTAGGGCATGGGGCAGGGTGATGGGGTGGGGTAGGTAAGATGTTTGTACAAGAATTGGTGCCTGGGAACTGATGGCTGACAAGGAGTCAGTGAACTTTTGAGTGTCATGAATGTAAAGCAGGGACTGGCCTGGCTTTGAAGGTACTCAGGTGACCAAATCTGGCCTAGTTTGGTATCCTGAGGCTTCTCCCGAGGTGTCCTGAGAGCCTGGACCTCGCAGCAGGGGCTATCCCGTGAGGGGTGCACAGCGGGACAGGTGGGGGAGTGTGGGGCTGGGAAGTCCCAGGAGCCAGTGTAGCAGAGGAGCCTGGGGGTTGGGAGGACTGCAACACGTGGTTGGACTTCCTGCCAGAGAGTGTGGCTCTCGCGCTGAGGGCTGGTGGTGAAGGTGGCAGCAACAGTTCCGCCCAGAGCGTCTGTCTTTCTGTTTCCATCTGTGTGTGAGGGGGCGGATGGGTTTTTGGGGTGCGAGGAGGGCTGGCAGGTTTTTCTGTGTCAGGCTGTGTCAAGCTGTCTCCCCCACCACCCATCAGGCCTCTTTGAACTGCCCACTTTGCTTTCAGCCTTTAGATCTCTGTAACCCTGCCCGGACCCTGCTGTTATCAGAGGAGCTGCTGCTGTACGAGGGGAGGAACAAGGCTGCCGAGGTAAGGCTGGCGCGCAGTGTTCCCAGGTGGGGCGTCCTGGTGGGCTTCAGGGGCCGCCCTCCGGGCCCTAACTCTTCTGTCTTCCTCATGGTCTTAGAATTGCACGATCTCAGGGTAGAGAAAATCTGAAAAAGCTCCCACCCTGCTCCATGCTTTCCTTACCACATGGTGACCCAGCTTTTTCTTGTACATTTCCAGCAGGAAGAAACTCACTACCTCTCAACCCTGTTTAGTCCATCTTTGATGGTTAGAAAGTTTTCCCAGCCCCTAAAGACATCCCATTGTTCGCTCTAACCTCCTCTAAGGGGCGGAAGAGATGGCCGTTCCTCCCAGCTGTGATGAAGAACTTTGTAGGTGAGAAGATGAAAGCTGTTAGCTAAAGAGCATTTTTAGATGAGCATCAGTTATGCGGGTTTTATGGGTCTGTATTAACCCAGATCCTCTTCTAAGGGGATAAGTCTGTGGTTTCTCCTGGGCTTTAGCTCTGCCAGCGGAGGTCTGGGTGTGGAGACCATGCCTCTTCCTGGGAGCTGGCCCCTGCTGATATCTGACCCAGGGAACTGGACTCACCCACCAATCCCCAGAGCTGGCCAGGTTCCAGCTCAGTCCCGTGAACGTACACCTACCTGGGCACAGAAGCTAGAACCCTGAGGTCTTCAAGGCCCCCCAGGGACCTGGAGGAGAGGGTAAGGGGCTTGCTGCAGCTCAGGCCCTGGCTCAGCGCTGGCAGCGGAGCCGGCTGGGTTGAGTGACAGCTTGGGGTGCTGTGGAAAGATCAGGAAACTCGAAGGCAAGACACATGGAGCCAGCTCCTGCTCTGCTGCTGGCTAACTCATGACTCCTTTCTTCTTCCTCAGTCCTCTCATCCAAACGGCATGTGTGTATTTGAGGCAGCTGCTCTGTAAGGCCCTTTCAGGCCCAGCATTCTGGGACATTATTTGTAATTGTGGCTAAAGCAGGAGGCTGCTTCTGGTTTTTTTCTTTTCTTTTCTTTTCTTTTCTTTTTGAACAAGCAGACCAGAACTCATACAGTCCAATGAGCATCATCTCAAAGGAGCTCCCTGGGGAGACCGCATGCTTGTGTCTACCACACTGGCACTGCTCACTACCTTTCCAGACCCCTTCTTGGGGAACTTTCTTAAGGACCTTGGCACATCATCTGAGTTGCCTTGATGGGAGTAACATTTTATCTGTTGAGGGGGATTTGAATTTTAGCAATAAGAAGTCACTTGGAGCTGTGCTTGGTGAATGAGGGCGTAGCAGAGCTAAGTCCGGTGGCCAGGGGTTGGAAAATGGGGCTATAAAGTCACAGGATTCCAAAGAAGGCACTTAGAAATGGCAGCCACCCTGAAATACATACATATGCCTAAGTTTGCCCTTTTGTCTGTCCACTCACCGTTAAATCTGCAAACACTGAGCACTTATTATGTTACCCGTGCTGCACATGCATTTCACATACCAGATCTCGCCACCCCCCAGAGAGGCACAATTGTCCCCACTCCGTAGATGAGGAACCTGAGGCTCCCATGAGATTAACTGGGACCCGAGGGGCCCAAGGCTCACAAGGGGTGGGGCTAGGGTTAGTTCTCGGATCTCTGGCTCAGGAGCGCTTCCCATGATCCCATGCTGCCTCTGGCCTGTTTGTTTAAAAGCAAGCTAGCAAACACAAGCTGAAGCCATCGCCTGATTACAGTCTGTCCCAAAACTCTTTGCTAGCGGATCTTTGGAGCCTTAGAACTAAGAAGACCTCCTTTGAAGACTGAAAGAAGCGATTCGAAGACAAGTAAAAATAAATATATTTGTTTTTCTTAAATTACGCTAGGAAGCAAATATGTGCATCTTGGTGGCCTGTCATGTTATTCAGGCCCAAAATATAAACCAGTGCAAGAGGGACTTGAGTAAGTTGGTAGAATTGCCGCCCTGGTTAGTCTTCAGGAGCTGTTCCTTCTGATTGTCTCTCTGTAACCTCCAGCTGATGGTTTTCCAGCAAGCTGTTGCTGGGTCTCAGAGGCAGCCCCTCCAAACATTGGTTTTGTTAACGGAGAGCGCTAACTTGTAGCAAGTTTTCCCTACCATCAACAGGAATCTTTATTCCGGGAATGTTCCCCCTTGGTTCTCCGTCTCTGCTCTGAGCATGAGTTTGATAAAGCCTGTGAGCTGATCCAGACCCACACCATGAACTTCCCTCATCATGCCCCCCCCCCCAGAAGTCACAGACTTCATTAATGTGCCCTGAGATCAAATCAGCGTCATGGAGCAGCCTGATTTATGTACTCAAACAATAGGGACTGAGCGTCTGCAGTGCAGCCAGGCCCTTGCGCAAGAGATTTCAGGGATACTATGGGGCCCAAGACAGACACACCCGCACTTTACACACTGACTCACTGAGTTTACCATTAACCAAGGCACCAAGGTCTTTTTTGCAAACCTTGCCCTTAGGCCAGATCCCTGGAGGAAGCTTGGTTAGGGCTACTTTGGAGAAGTGACCCTCCAAGTTGCATGGATTCCCTACCCAAGCAATTCCTCAATCCTTGACCCTTGGGGAAAACCGATGTGCCCTTGGAGCGGGTGTGGAGAAGACACTTGGCGGGCACCAGGTAACAGGGCCGTGGACACGGGCATCATTCCACTGTGGGCCGCTGTGGCTCCTGCTGAAGTAGAGGCTGCAGGATGCTGGTGAGATGGGAGAGGGGCCACCTGCCTCCCCTGGCACACTCGCCGCTCGCCTTGCCTTCAGCTCTGTGCCAGCTCTGTCCTTTCCATGACCCAGCCTTTGGGGAAATTCTTCGTTCATGCCTTAATCACTTCCTGTCTAGACCACATTTCCAGCCCTGGGAATCAGGGTCAGACCCGCAGCCTGGGGAAAACAGAGCAAGCTTTTCGCACCTTGCCCCTGGGCACTTAGCATCTATCCAGGCCTTTCTGGGCTTGGGCCATTTTTTGACTTTATAGGTTCCTAACAGGTTGTCTTCTCCAACCCTTCCCCTGCCAGCTTCCCAGTGGGTCCGCAGGTGACAGCCAGGTTTTCCTCGAGAGGGCCAGGGAGCCTGAGGGGTTGCTTGTGTTGGGTGAGTTTAGAACCTTCTCCTTTACACTGGTTGGATTTTGAAGACCTAATCTCAGAAAACCAACCCCTCAAATCCTTCTGAACCTTCGGATCATTTTCTTTGCCACGCCCCCCCCCCCGCCCCCGTTAACTTTATTTATATTTTTGATCTTCTTTGCTCTTCTTTTCTGGTCCCTGCTTGGATTCTTTCACATTCAGGGATAGGACAACTGTAGGTATTGAATATATTGCTGCCTCTCTGTATTGTGACCACTTTGGTGTCAGCCATACCTGGGCAATGGTCCCCAACTGTGTTGTCTTAGGCAGGTCACTTAACCTCTCTGAGCTGCAGGGTCCTCATCTATAAATGAGGGCAATGATGTTATTTACAAGTGAGGGTCCACTGAGCAGAAAGTCAGTGGGTGACAAATGGAGGCGTTTCTTGGGCTGCACTGGGACAGGGCTGTGGTGGGCAGAGGGTTGGACAGCCTCATCACCAGGGCCCCTTCCAGCCCAGGGTCTCAGAGCCCTCGTATTTAGTCCCATGAGCGGGAGGCCTCTCGTTTAAGGACGCTCCCATTGTCTCTGTGGCCCAGATTTCCCCGCACCTCTGTGTTCTCGCTATGCTCAAGAAGCCAGGGGGTCCTTTGGAAAAATATTTACCTGCTTTTTAAATTACAAAAGTAACAGATTGTTATTGTAAAATAAATCAAATTAAGCAGAAATGTAGGAAGTAAAATCCATTCCCCAGAGTGAAGAGTGTGGTATCTTAAGACATTTAAAAAATGTTAAATGTAGACAGAGTTATAGTTTTATTTTACAAAATTGGATTATACTCTTGGTATTTTTGCACGTTGCACTATTTTGACTTGTGATAAACAGATTTCAGCTTCCGTCCACGTAGCCCTACTTTATTCTTTTAATAGTTGCATAAAATCTTACCATATGAAGGTAGTGTAATTTATTTTATCCATGTTCTCTTTAGGGGCACTTATGATTATTTTTACCTCTCTCTTGTTTATTTTATTCCATTTTTTTTTACTTCATCCCCACTCCCCAATGCCATTAGTTTATGTACTTTTTAAATAATTTAAATACAGTGGGGTGACATTGATTATAAGATTATGCAAGTTTTGCATTGTGTGCTCACACCTGAAGTCTAGTCTCCTTCTGTCGCCACATGTTTGTCCCTTTACACTCTTCAACGTCAGTGTATGTACTTTTTTTTTTTAAACAAAATATTGCTGAGAACATCCATATAGGTTTCTATTCATATAGCCTTGTTTTTCGGTAGGGTGATCTCAGAAGTAGAGTTGTTAGGTCATCTTTAATAGTCTGACAGCTAAATGTCAACATGTCGGCTTTTTAAACATCAGTGACAATCCAGCGCACACTCACTGTAGTCCTTAGTAGTGCATGCCAAGCTCTCCTGGCTGACTCTTCTTACTTCGGAAGAGATGAAGTATCAGATTTTGACACCTCAAAGGGAAGTTCACATAATTAATCATATTTTGTTTTCTTCAGAGACTCTAAACTTGGACTTTATAGCTCTTGACTAAGGGCCACTGCGGGATTTATAAAACAAAGAACAGTGTAATCGTTAGTGGCATTAGGATCAAATAGATTTTTGCAGCACAAAAATATGCTGAGCATGCCTGTTGGTTTACCTATAATGTCTAAAAATAGCTTTCGCCTTTATTTTTGGAGCAGCTAGCGCATAAAAGAGATAAAAGTCATGCACATGTCTGTACCGGAGCGTAAGTAACTGGCTTCTCCTTAAATTGATTGCACACTACTGCAGTTAAAATTACCGCATGCAATTTGGTAACAGTGCCTCACATTGCTCATTGCTTCTATTCATCGTCTGCACAGAGCTTGTGAAAGGAGACCAAGGGAGCTGGGCAGGGATTCTCCCCCAGTTTGTACAGATGAGAAAACTTGGGAGACTTAACCAGGTTTTTATGGCTGCTTAGGGGGATAGAGCCTCATGACTTCTGAGCCCAGTCCCAGCGCTCTTTCAGCCAGATGTTCAGAGGAGAATACAAGCAGATGCGGGACATCCTGCAGCTCAAGGGTGGCTCGAAGCCAAGGAGATTCCAGGGCTTTTGGCCAGAGATGTGGGCCTGTGAGGTGTCAGGCTGTGGAGAGCGTTCACGGGGGCCATCTGCCACAGAGGGTGAGGGTCCTTACTGTTGTTGTTTATTTTTTTCTACTGTGAGGAGAGGAGCTATAGAAAACTGCAGGGCAAGAGGTCGGTCTGGACTCCAGGGCAGCTCTCTGCCCTTGGTTGAGGCCACGCTGAGTCTGCTCCTGGTTCTGCCTAAGATGACAAGGACTCCTTACCCTCCTGGCCTTTGGGGAGGCTGTGGCTCCTGGCCTCTGGGACAGCTGAAGAGCCCGTTCTGTTTGCTCTCACCTGACGCAGGTGACGCTGTTTGCCTATTCGGACCTGCTGCTCTTTACCAAGGAAGACGAGCCGGGCCGCTGCAACGTCCTGAGGAACCCGCTCTACCTCCAGAGTGTGAAGCTTCAGGAAGGTAAGTGTGTCCCCAAGATGCCCAGGGCCCCTCCCCACCTGTCCTGAGTCCACTGCTCTGGGAAGCCTGGGTGCCCAGTTTGGTCCAGCCCCTCTGGTGCTGAGTGGTCAGTGGTCCATAGGGCGCTTGAGCATGTGCGGTCAGGTCCTGCCCCTGGCTGTGGGCCCTCAGACACTGGTATTCCATTCCTGGCTGGCAAACCTCCCTGTACACCCCGACCTTTGCTGGGAGGCTGTGGAGTGAGGTGGGAAGAACTTTGGACTTAGACCTATGCTCAGATCTTGGCCCTGCCCTTCACTGCCTGTATGGCCTTGGGCAAGTTACTCAACCTCTCTGAGCTTGTTTCCGCATGTGTGAATGTGGGAGACGAATAGTGTCTCAGAAGGTTGTTGTGAAGATTAAATTAGGTCATGTATGCAAAGTACCTGACCCACACCAGGTGCCCGATAAATGCTAGTCACCACCACACTCACCACACATCCGGCACAGGAGACCACTGCTCCACTCCACTCAGTTTTATTGCTTTGACCAGAGCCCTAGGAGCCTGGAGCATGTGTGGCTGGGTGCTGGCGAGCAGGAGCCCAGGGAGCGCGGAGCGAACCTCTCCCCCAAACTTTCCATCGTGCTCTCCTCCACGCTGGAACGGAAAGCCAGCTGGGAGTATCTGCCGAGCAGTTTGATTTGGCGCCTGAGGTCTCCGCTGAAAGGGGCTTGATTTCCTCTCCCAGATTATGAAAACAACAACAGACCTGTTTGAGCATGGGTGACAGGGGCAGGGAGGAAAATATTACCCAGTGAAAGAATTCTGTTTTGACGGGTTTTGCTCCAGGAAAACTTCCTGCCTGTTTGCAAACCCGACCCGTGTGCTCAGCCCCTGCTGGCCTTCCTCCTTAGACACCAGGCAGTGTGAGAGCCTCCGCTTTCGCCACCCCACAGGAAGTCACTCACAACTTCTCTGCCTCGGGCTTTCTCCTTCCCCTTCCCGCTGAGGGGACAAAGCAAGGCACCTTCCCCAGAGGCCAGCCCCTCCCTCGGGGCACCCGCCCCCCACCCCGGCCAAGGTCAGTGGTGAGGAGTGGTCCTTTGAACAAGTTCAGCTCAGATCCTGGAGTTGCAGGGAGCTCCATGGGAGGAGGGCAGGTGAGAATTACTGCCTTTGGTTTCCCACTGCTCTGCCCTTCCCTCCTTCCTTCTAACCAGCTTCCCCTACCTACATGCCCAACGTCAAGAGCTTCCCACCCCCTGGCATGCACGTGTACACACTAGCACACACAACATACACTCTTTTCCTCTGTGCATCTGCCCGTCCCCAGCTCAGACAGTCTGGGACCCAGCGAGCTGTGAGGAATACTGGGGGCAGTGCTTGGTGACCTGGGCTGACTGATTATAGAACTGAACTCTGATTGGAGGGTGGTGCTCATCCTTCTGCTAAAAGGAGGGAGGGCAAAGAAGCGGGGCTCAAACTGGCTGTGCTTTGGGTGGGGGTTGGGATGAGAGTGACAAGGGCAGTGGAAGAGCCCAGCCCAGCAGCTGGACATTTGGGGTCTGGGCTCAGCTTTGCTGCTAACATGCTGTGTGACTTCAGCTGGACTTTCCCTTTTCTGGGCTTCTGGGGTCAGTTCTTAGCATTCACTCCGAGCCCTGAAGTCCCCAGACAGACCCTGAGGTAGCCGTAAGAAGCTGGACGGTGCCCGTATGTCCAGTCTCCATCCCTCAGGGGAGCGGAGCCTGACTGGAAATTGGTTGGCTCTTCCCCTTCTGGGTCCCCCAGACCCAAGGTTTGAAGTTAGAGGCAGGGTGAGCTCCATCCTCCAGCGGGTGGTGGACAGTTGTGGTAGGCGGTGCAGGGCCTTGGGTGCTGCAGAGATGTTTTCCATGTGCTGAGCCCCCGGAGTCTTGTGCAGGCACGGCTTCCTTGGTCTGGAGACCACATCCTCTCTCTGCAGATGGCAAGCTGAGTTGTGGCCAAGGCTAGCACTCCTTACGGGAGATGACCCGAGCCCGCTGGGTTGGCATGGGAGGGGTGCGTGCGTGTGTGTGTGCACGCCCATGCCTTTGCGTATGCCTGTACTGACCCTGCCAGGCAGATGGTTTGGTGCAGACAAATTGCCTTGCCCTTCTCCAGCAGTGTCAGTGAGCAAACACAGTGAATAGGGCTCTCCAGGGAGCCCATGAGCTGAGAGCAAAGGAAATGGCTCAGTGACATTGAGCACTCAAGGTGCACATTCCATTGCTTAGATTTCTTTCCAGGCATTGGTGGAGCCCTTGCCTCCTCCCCAGCCCACTCCTCCCCTGAGACAGCCCTGTGGGTCCTGGGGTTCACAGAACTCCAGTGACCCCTTCTCCTGCAGCCCACGCCCCATTTCCTGCCTGCCTCCCTTGTGCCCCCAGAGACCCACTGCAGAGGCAAAGGCTTGAGTGAAGCTTTTAAGAGATGCATTTGGGGCTCAGCTGGAGCTTCTGTTGGCTGAATGGTCTCTGATTAACACTGCTCACACTCCTAGGTTTTTTGTTTCAACATGTGTGAAGAGTTCAATTTGGGGTGAAGGAGGCGGTAAACAAGGAGCACGCTCAGCCTTTCCTGGGGGCTAGGACTGGTGAGGGTTGTTCCCTGGTCGGGGAGAATCTGCCCAACCCAGGGACCAAGGACTCACTTGGGTGTGTGCCTTGTCTGGAGGGTACTCTCGGGGTCCGTCATGTGGCCCAGAACATCGTGGGTGCTCAAGGAATGTTTGTTGGATGAGTGAATGAATGAGTGAAAGACCAGAAACAGTGCCTCAGCTTGGGGGCCAGGAGTGCCCTCCTCACCCAGGGCTCCAGGCTGGTGGCTGCTTAAACCTCCCCTGCCCTCCTCCTGCCCAGCTGTCCCCAAGCTTCAGCGGGGTTGGACGGCAGTGTAATGGGAACAGGCGGAGGGCTGGCGCTAACAATTGGGACATCTCCGGTCAGCCAGGGCCCATTGTGGTCTCTTCCTGTCTCTGCCACCCACTGACTTTGTGGCTCTTTTGTGTTTCTGCCTCCCAGGCGGCCAGCATCCCGCCCACAGTGTGTCTTCCTGGACACTCTGGTCTCTCAGGGTGGCTCGGAAATACCTAGTTGATTCTTGGGCTGTCCATCCACCCTACTGACTCAGGTGCCCAGTCTTGGAAACTCGGCTGCTGAGGTCCCAGCCACTGGAATGCCCAGAGTTCAGTGTAGTCAGCCAGTTGCCGTTCTCTGAGCACGTCCTCAGAGCCCACCTCAGCACTGGCCATCAGGGCGAGTGGAGGAAAGGAAACTTTTCCACCTCTGGGGCACGTGGCCCCGGGGGAATGACAGAGAAGTAAACTGGTTTGGGGGCAGAAGTGTGGTGTAGTGGTCAGAACATAGGCTTTGGAGGCAGGTGTCCTAGGTTCAAATCTCAGCTCTTGCTTTCTTCTTGTATGCCTCGTGTAAGTTGTTTTCCCTCCCGGGGACTCAGTTTCTGCCTCTGGAAAATGGAGACAGTAGCCCTCTGGCTTGTCTTACAGGGTAGAGAGGGCTTGGTGAATGGCTGAGTTTGTGATCACAGTTCAGCCTAGAGAGGACTTCAGGAAAATGACAGAGGGGTCAGACCTGGGTGGGGAAGCCCCTCTGAGCCTACTCAGCCCATGGCTAGGGATCCCCCCTAGGTGGACCCACAGTTTCATTGGTGGCAAGCAAGGCCCACCCAAAAACCAATGGCTCCTTGTTACATTTCATAATGGCAAAAGCATTTGGAGTGTTAGATGGAAACCCAAATGTGCCTGTCCCTTTGACTTTACAGGGTCCCCATGTCCACACTCAGGAGAGTCTGGAGCTCAATCTAATGTTTCAGAAGGGTTTCTGGTGGGGCTGAGGTCCCTCTCCTAGGCCAGCCGCCTTGCAGCCGGCGGTCCCACCTCTGCGACTCCTTCCTGGCACCTTGGCTGCGAAGGCTCATCATCCTTTTCTGAGGCTCTGAGTGTGCTGAGCACTTCCCCATTCTGTCTCGCCCTCAGAGCGCTGCCAGTGCACAGCCAGGATGGGAAGTAGACATCAGTGAAGTCTTGGGGTCATGCAGGAGAGTGGGGACAGGTCACAGCACAGAAACGTTGTCAAGGCAATCGCTGGCTGTCCCGCCTCATGGGGAATGTGTCCTAGGCTGCATTCCTCAAACCTCAGCCTCCTCTCCCCCTGAGGCTCCCAAATCCTTGGCTTTCCCCTCCCTCCTAGATAGAGCCTTCTCTTCTCTCACTGCCAGCTTCTAAAACCCAAATTTCTGTTATTTTATTTCTTGAATTTTTTTTGTTTCTCTCTAGGCACTAAGGTCTGCTTCTGGAAAGTCAAGGAAATGTCCCACTGTGTTTTCTTAAACAAAAGAGACCAACTCCTTTTGTTTCCACTCTCAGCAACTCAAAGAAGTGGCAAAAAGCTTTGAAATGACAGGGTCCTTAAACATGACAGACTTCTTAGTCAGGGCTCCCTCCCTCCCAACCCACCTCTAGGTGAGGAGAAGTAGGATTCATCCCAAGTCCAAAGTGAACCCATTTACTCATGGGATTTTCTTCATCTGGCTCTGTTTGGCGGCCCTGGCCCAGGGGACGGTTTTGCCCAGGGAACTGCCCCCATGCTTGCTCTGAGGGCCTGGCCTTCACTCACTGCTTCTCTTGGGAGTAGGCTTGACCCACTGTCTCTGTTTGTACCTTGCCACCTTTACTTTGCAACACAACTTGCAATTTCTTTGGTAATTTCTTTGATTCGGATATGTGTGGAGGGGTCTACTTTGAGCCTAGCACTGGGCTGGTTCCCTAAAGGCGGCAGAGGCCTTCGAGAGGCAGGCATATAGTGGCTCAGAGCGTGGGCCCAGGAGCCAGGCTTCCTAGGCGGGAATTCCTCAGACTTGTTACTTGAGCCATCTGTGCCTCAGCTTTCTCACATGAATCATGGATGATAATACCCCCTGCCTCACAGGGGGAGTTATGAGGGTTAATCAAGCTCATACAGGCAGAGCATTTGGCCCAGCGGTTGGCACATAGCACTGTGGTGCTCTGAAGTTCTATGATGCTTCAAGTGTTTGCTATTATACGATGTGCAGTATGGTTGCTTCCCTCAAAAATGACGACCTGCCTGATGCGGTCTATTGCCTGAAGTGTGGGAAGTCACTGAGCGTCCCCGACCTGTGCCCAGACAATTGCTGGGTGAGGAGCAGGCTGCGCGGGCAGGCTTGAGCACACCTTGTGCTTCTCCGTCCCCGCGCCGTCGCCTGCTGTGCCCGCCTCCTGGCATGCCCTTTCTTGTCCTCTCGAGTTCCAGCTCAAAAGGGTCCTCCACCAGGAAACCCTCCCCAAGAGCTGGGGGTCATCCCTTAGCCCTGGTGCTTCCGAAGTGCTCTGACTGGGTCATCTGCTGCCCTATGGTGGGGGTTCCACTGTAGCCCCTGTGCTGGAGGAGGTGGGAGCGGCCCACCGCCCCTCTCAGCTGCCCTCCTTTGGAGAGCGCCTGGTGAATGGTTGACTTTGGGATTCTAGACCAAGAGCCAGGTGGCTGCAGAAAACGTGCTGAGGGGTTGTGCCTGAGCCAGGAGGCCGTCTCTGTGCTCCACCCAGCACACGGTTAGGGTCCCCTTCCCGCACAGCCCATGAATTCCTTGGGGGAAACAAGGCCAGCTCAGTGACTAAGTGGCTTCTTAGTGAATCTCAAGTGGCAAAGACATTTGGGATGTTTAAAGGAAAACCCAAATGTCTGCTGCCTCCACGTCCCTCATCACAGAGAGCATGGGAAGGAAGAGGCCCCCCGCAGCAGATGACAGCCCCCTGCACCTGGCCGTTCGATGCCCAAAGGGGGCTCCTGGCTGCCTCTCATGGGGGTGTGACCTCAACAGTCTCCGAGTCAGGCTGACCCACGGGCCAAGGCCTTACAGCTATGCCTCTACCTGGTTGGTTATTAAATGGCATTTCCTCCAGAGACTTCCCTGTCTCCTGTGCCTGCTCCTTGCTCTTTTTCCAGGAAGTCCCACACACAGCCCTCTGGGTGGGGCAGCTGGCTGTGCTTGAGCAAACTGCTGAGACTCTGGAGCCGATTCTAATGCAAGCCTTACTTTTTGTTCCCAAAGGTTCTTCAGAAGACCTGAAATTCTGTGTGCTGTATCTGGCAGAGGTGAGCCCTTCTCTCTGAATCTGAGGGGACATCTGTGACCTGCTACTTGTGGGGACATGTTGGGATGGATTCTTGTCCAGGGTTCTGATGCCACCTCCATCCCACCTCATGCAGTGGCGCTGGGTGTGTTCAGCATGGCAGTCTCCTGCCCTGCAGAAGAGGAAGTGGCCCCTGTGTCCCTTCCCTTCGTGTAGAGCAACAGAGGACTCTGTGACCTCCTGCTCAGGGCCCCCGGTCTGCAGCCCCTGCTGGGGTCACAGTGAGGATGTGGCCTCACCGCTGGGCGTCACCCCGTTTACTTGGGAGCCCTTCCTCTGGAGATCGCCCTCATTCCTGGGCCTGCCTCTGCCTTCCTCTTTTTCCAGGAAGTGCCACCCAGGACCCCTTCTAAGGGTCTTATCAGTGTTTAAAGTGGCCTGGAGGTAATGAAACCCTCGCCCCACCCAGATAACACAGGCTACAGAGCACGTCGAACGTCTGTGGTTTGGGGCTGGAATGACACGTGCTCAGTGTGATTGGTATTCCTGGTTATCTCCGTCTGATCGGGAGCTTGGATGGGCAGTGCTATGCCTTTGCTGAGCAAAATTGGGCAAACAGCTTATTGCTTGATATGGTTTGGGAGATAAAATATCATTAAACCAGGGGATTAATCAGAGGTTCTTGGTGATGAAAAGGCTGAGAGCTCCTGAGCCATCAAATTCATTTAGATTTTTAGCGAATTTTTTATTCCCAACTGGTGTCTCTGCTAATATGAGCAAGGGAGCTCTCTGTCCCAAGCAAGGATTCATTAGACCCATTCTTGTCCTCTGCTTCTACTTAAGTCTATCCCACCCAATAGTCCTCAGAACCTGTCTGACTTGTGGGAGTCTACCCTGGCCACGCCCTGTGGGTGGGGCATGGTCTACTCTAGAAGGCCAAGAGGAGTACACCCTTTTGAGAAGGAATGGGCAACTGAAAATCATTCCCTCAGTTCCTGGCTAAGATGAGAGGTGCAGGCTGAGCGAGAGTCCCCTCCGGTAAACAGCCCTCTGGGGAGAAGACGATTTGATGAGATAGCTTCAGGGGAGAGCAGAGAGTTGCAGAGGGCAGTGCACATTGTCAGAGCTGAGCTGGGGACCCTGGCTGCCTAGAACGGCAACCCGAGGGCCCAGAAGACATTGGCTATCCTCCCCTGTGTCAGCACATCCCACCAGCCACTGGCCGAGGCACTTCAGAGCTAGAGGGTGTTCAGTTCTGCAGAGCCTGGTGAGCCCTCAGGGGCTGTGACCTGGGCTGGGAAGAGCCGGAGCGTTTGCCCCTCTGTCCTCACCACTCTGGGTTCTGATTATTTCTGGCAGGGTGCAAAATGAAGCTCTGGGTTCTTTAATGCCAAGAGAGCTTCCTGCCAAGCTGGGTTTGTTTTTCCCAGAGAAAAGCACTTCTGCTCATTCACTTCCTGGGAACTGGGACCTCCTAGCCTTCCAAAGGCTGATGAAGGGATATTGATCTGGGGCCTTTTATTTCAGTTAAGTGCCAGGTGATCTGACCCCAAGGGGCTGGAGGATTGAAGTTCATAGCAGCTAGAAGCCTTTCTTTTCTCTTAATGGGCTGCTATTTATGAAAGGCATGTCTGTAATGAAGGAAGACCAGATGCCTGCTGGCTCTGTGGCCTGGAGCAGGCTTGGCACGGTGGTTTTGGACCGCTCGGAGAGCCCCAAACTCACGTCTTAGTTGGAACTTCCAACAAGTGGTTTCTCTTCATTGCCTAGCAGGCAGGTGGCACCCAGAGAAAAAACCAGGGCAAGAGAGTCAGGATTTGGAGAGGGTATTCCACTGCATTGAGAAAGCACTGATTGCTTTGCTCTGCTCTGACTGTGCCCCAGCGGTAGGTCCCGGGTGGGGTTCCTTGGCCTTTGGGTCTCTATTCCCCTGGACAGGTGTCCCTCATCTGCAAATCCATAGGGCAGATGCAGCCCACTACTCGTTTCTGAGTACTAGGAGCAGCGAGTCAAAGTTCACACTGGCCAGTGACCATTCTCTAACTGATACTGGCTGCATTCATTTCAGCCTGCACTTTGGGGTTGAGAAGACCTAGACTGGAATCTTGGCTCTGCCATTGCCTATCTGAGTGATCTAGGCAAGTCACTTACTCATCTCTGAAACAAGGCCAATGAGGCCTATTTTGCGAGGTGGTTGTAATGATTAAGTGAGATTCAATAAGATACTATGTCCAAGGCACTTACTTAGCTCAGAGCCTGGCACACAGTGAGTTTAACAATAAATGGTCATTGTTATTTTGTCAGCTTCACAACAGGGGGAGAGCTTTCCATACTCATTTCCTCTCCATTACAGACATCACCAATGAGTTATTGATCTTTTGAAAAGAAAGCTAGGAGGACTATCTCATGTTCTTTCCAATGTACATATGCAGTTATACAAATGTGACAAGACCCCAGGCTCTGGAGGAGACAGAAGTCAGACTTTGAATGTCCCCTCTCCTGAGACCTCCTGGAGCCAGCCTAACCTCCCTGAACCTCTGTTTTCACATCTGAAAAACAGCAGCACCTGTGCCTTTCCTTCCTCCCTATGTTGAGGGGGGGGGGGAGGTAGCTGGGAGAACGTCAAAGCAAGTGAACAAATGTAAATTAGCACAAGAAGAGGTTTTCTTTTTTACAAAGACAGTATTAATTTTAGGGACAAGGGGGTGAGGTGAGACGGGGGTTTTAGAGAGGCCCAGAGGAGCTGGGTTTCTGTTGGATTTGGGGGTGCTCCCATTGGAATGGAGAGGCCTGGGCCCGGGGCTGCTGTACCTGGAGAGTCAATGTTTCCTAAACACCCTGCAGTCAGGAGGCCCTGCCTCTGAATGAGTTAAGCGAGAACACCTTCAGGGCAGCTTACACCCTTGACCCTGGAGCCTGCTGCTGAGGGCAGGGTGTGCACCAGCTTGCCACTGATGGGTTGGATCACACAGTGGACTAAGAGCGACGATTCCCCTGCAGGGGCAGCCAGGACGGCACGAGGCCCCCATTTAGGCAGATTTAGGCAGATGGGAATTTGGCGGCGCCTCCTGAGCGGGCTGGCTCCGCGCTGTCTCTCCCGGCCAGGCCAGCCTCGAAGCCCTAAGCAGCACCTCAGGAGGAGTCTTGGGAGCAATGGTTTCCTAATGGTGCGTACAGCTGGCCACCGGGCCACCGGGCCAGGCCTGGGTGTAGATCCTTAAGATGAGAAACATTTCTTGAGAACATGGATGGGAAAGTGCTTTTTTAAAAATTGATAATTAGATAAAGGGAGTTGTTATTATGGCAGAATTCCTGCTTTGGAACTGAAAGAGAAGAGGGTTTGGGGCTCAGGGAAATTAAAGGATTTGCCAAACACTGAACGGCAAGGTAGAGGCAGGACCTGGGAGGCTCTGCCAGGGCCAACTCTGTGGGGTGATGGCCTTTTCCAAGCTGGAAGGGCCCAGAGTCCCTGCCTCCTCCCTCCCCCCGCAGGGGGAGCGCCCTGACACTGGGAGCAGAGGGCCTACTCGTTGTCTCCCGCCCCACCCGACTTCTCCCTGGGGAATCTTAGGGTCTCTTTGCTGGGCATGTCACGCTCTCGTGGGTTGGCGGTTCTGGGAAGTGGAGGGAACCTGTTGTTAAGTGATAGGATTGCCTCACCTATCCACCCAATTCCCAGAAGCCCTGAGGCAGGGCTTTCTTCCCTCTCCACTCAGTGTTTTTAGGAAGATCAGCTGCTGAGCACTTTTGGGCAGGAGAGGAATGGCTGTACCCAGGGAACACTTAGCATGGGAGGTGCCCCACCCTGAAGGGTGGCTTCCCTAGGGTTGTGTTGGGTGGCATGGTAGAGAATGTTCTGAGATGCTCTTAGGTGATGCCAATAACCACCTAGCCCAGAGCCTTTGCACCTGACACATAGCAGGTGCTCAATAAATATGTATTCAACGAATGAAGTACTGAGTAAAAATAGCAACAGTTGCTGTTTGTTGAGGCCTGAGATGGCCTTTGTCACTTGCCTCCACAGTAGCTCTGAGACATGGGTGATAGCATTATCATTCCCATTTTACAGACTTTCCTGAGGACATGAGCTAGGAAGCGGCAAAGCTGGGATTCAATCAGGGCCTGTCCAACTGCAAAACAAAGGACTGCATATAAACACTGTCTTCTCTGTTTCAAGCTATCCAGCTCATGCTCTTAGCTCCCTGGCTGAGTTCATCTAATCGCAGCCCTGTGCGGTTATAATCAAATTCCAGCAGAGTCAGAAAGAGCTCCTAATCCCCTGCTCAGAGTGTGCTGTAGGGGATGATAGCACTGGGCACGCTGCAGCGCTCCTCCCCGCCCCTGCACATCCTGACTGCTCCGGAGCCCTCTCCCTGGGTCCCCGCAGCGCTGGCCTGGCTTTGACCTCATCCCGGGAGGCCCTCCAGGGAGCCAGGGCTTACCGACGCATTACTTGCCAAGCACTGTGCTAGGTCCAGATGAAAAGGCCTTCCAAGAAGGAGATCCTGGTCTAGTTGGGGAGACAAGACTGCAGCACTTAACAAGGTTAAACAGCAAAGTGAGATTCAAATGACAGCAGTGCCAGAGACTGTTGTTGCTCTCAATGGAGCCGAGCCGTCATGGATCAGACCCAGCTCATATGCCAGGCAGTAGTGGGGCTGGAAGGCCGCGTGGCTGTGCCTGCCAAAGGCTTTCTGAAGGCTTCCGTTGGTATGTCCAGCCATCAGACCTTGGCCTGGTGATCAGATGAGTCTGCCCTGTGTCGGGGAGGGGGTCCTAGAGCCTGGGGAGGAGGCTCCTGGCCCCACAGAGCCTCAGAAGGGCAGAGACCGTGGCCCTCTGGGCTCCCCACATGCTCTCCCAGCTGCTGCTTTGTGCTGCCTGTCCCTGGGGTGACCTCACCATTTCTGCTCTGTGGCTCTCCACAGACCTCCACTGTGTTGGGAACCACCACCTTCTTCCCTTCCCCCAGCCTGGGGGCACCAGGCTCTCCAGCTGGCCCCCGAGCCAGCTTCCCTGCTCTTCTGGCTGCCTCGATGTCACCAGGGATTAGAGTGCATTTGTGGCTTTTAGTGGACACTCCCCTCCCCGCGGCAGCCTCGCCCGCCGGAGCCCAGCGATGGGCTTGGACCTGGGAGCCCCCAGAACCAGGGAGCAGCCCTGACCGTCCCTTTCTCTATTTTCCCTGACGTCAGAAGGCAGAGTGCTTATTCACTTTGGAAGCGCACTCGCAGGAGCAGAAGAAGAGAGTGTGCTGGTGCTTGTCAGAGAACATCGCGAAGCAGCAACAGCTGGTGGCCTCGCCCCCGCAGAGCAAGGTAAGGGTCTTGCCAGCAGCTGCAGCCCCAGCCGCCTGGCTTCTCCTCATTGTCCTGGATCCTTGAGCCCCCGAATTAAGCTTGGGACCAGTCTGAGCTCCAGACTTAAATCTGGACAAGCGCTTGTCAAGGAGGGCCGTGCTTGAACGTCTCCCCCCTTGGCATTTTACTGGGTCTATTGAGCGGGTTTCATATTGCTCGGGTAGTGACAGAGCCGAACTGAGCATGACCCATCAATTCTCAGCTCTGTTCTTCGGTTTGCCCACGGCAACGTCTAATTTGGGTTGGCCTCCCTGTGCCGCGGGGCGGGTTGTGCCGGGGGCAGCACGCTGGTGTCTAACACTGGCCCAAGGCAGACATGATCGGGAGGGGATGTGTGCAGCAGAAGCTGTCCTAATAGTTCGATGCAGGTCACGGCCCGCTGGAGCCGATGGAGTTTGCTGGGGACTGGGGGCACTCGAGCTGGGGTATCAGGGTAGATTAGAGACTGCCATCTGAGGCTGATCTGGAACTGGCCCCCTCAGTGGGTCCCATGTCTATAGAGGGGATGGGTTGGGAGCTTGTCACCCAGATGCCAGCCACAAGGCACAGTGTATTTCCCCATTTCTGAGTTGCTCGGGTCCCTTTTCTTGCTGAAATTGTTGGCCGTTTTGGGATTTGGTCTGATTGGCTGCAAAAGGAGCCAAGGTGGTTGGTCCGCTGGACGGGCGGAAAAGATGATAAATGAAAGCGAGTAGCAGCCTGTAATCCTGCTGGCCTTGTTGCTTCTTCTGGATGCATTAAGTCCATCGTGCCCCGGGCAGCAGGCATATGGGGGTGGGTCGTGGGGTCTGCGGAGAACGGGAACGGGGGCAGAGGGTGGCGAGGAGTCTGGGCAGCGATGCTCAGCAGCTCCCCAGCTATTCCCTGTGGGAGTAAGCATCTGGGGAATTATATAATCGCAGACTTGACAGTTACTTTGTTTCACACTAGCCAAAGGGCAAGAATAACTTTGATGAGGGAAGACTGTAGGAAGAGCATGGACGTTTGATTCGCACTATGCTGCTGACTGGGGGCATGACCTTGAGCAAGTCATTATACTAACTTGGAGCTGTGCTATCCTCGTCTGGGGACAATAGTTCTCCCTCAAAGGGTTGTTGTGAGATTTGAATGGGATGGTGCATATACAGTTCATAGCACAGTGCTTGGTATGCAGTAGGCGCTCAGTAGCTGTGGGTAGTGCACTGCCCCCACCTCCATCAAGGCTGCACGTTGCTACATTGGATGGTTCCCACTGTCAGTTTCTCCTACTGAACAGAGACCTGCAGACTCTGTAGGCTGCCTTGTGCTCTTCGTCCTGGGTTGGTTACAGTCAGAAGCCGGGCCACTCCCTTTTCACTGGGGCAGTGCCAGGGATGTTGCATGGCTGAACTCGTGCTCCCCAGCTTTCTTGTGTCTTGGGCCTAGCTCCTTCTGGTGTCGGGGGAAAAGGTTCTTCCTGCTCCAGCTCCAGAGTCCTTGGGCTTGGAGCGCATTGGCAACGGCCTCCTCAGTGCCTTGGGGAGCCTCGCCGTCATCGGCTGACTAAAGGTAGGCCGGGCTTCTCATTCAGGCTCTGGTCCCTGCAGCTGCGGGTTTGGCTGACTGATCCTGGGAGGGCCCCAGGAGTTGAGACCTGGCTTCTGGACCACACCAAGATATGCACATTCATCCTGGGCAGGCAACACTTGGATGCCTCTTCAAATTAAAACTCTTTAAACGTGTGTCTTATGGAGAAGTTGTATGCTGGGCAAGAGAAAGGTAAAGGAGAGGCTGACCGCTGGGACAGTCTGAGAATGGCCTCCTCCCCTGAGACCCGGGCCCAGCCCCAGGCGTGCACACCTGACTTGGCCCACCGTCCTTAGAAGGCAGTTATGCCACTTCTTTTATTCGGCAGGCCCGTGGGGGTTTCACTGCCCAACTTTATGCACTCCCACCATACATGCTTAAAGAGTTTTTTAGCAACTTATTCCTTCTGGTCACTCATAGAGTGCTCCCTGAGAAAAGTTTGGTAAATACGATTTTCTCTAGCCACTTATAGTTGCAGGAGTGCTTTAGCAGACTTAACAACTCGGCCCAGGTGGCTGTCCAGCCAGCCACAGGTTGTCCGCCTGTGCTCAGCTTGGGCAGGTCCTGGCAACCTCAGAGGTGACTGTGAACCTCCTTGCCAAGGACTGGGCCACAGCCTTTCCCCTAGGGTGCTGTCCTCCAGGGAAGAGAGAAGAGGGAAGGCCAAGCAGAACTCGGACACTGGCTTCTTGCTTTTTAAGCAAAAAGAGCCCGGCTTGGCCAACTTGTCTTGACTGAGTAGCATGCCTTTTTTAACATCTGTTCTTTGTTCTTTCTGGATGTTCTGCCTTCTGCTGCGCAGAGACCGCTGCGTAAGCCTTCCCTGTGTGCCCCCACCCCGAACTCTAATGTTTCTCTGGGGAAAGACACCTTTGAATGAGGATTCTTCAAACATTTCAGGGAATGCAAAGTTTTCCCCAAATTTGCAACACATAATAAATCTGATATGTCCTGAACAAACATGAAGTGCTTGTTGGGAAGGATGGAGGGGACTAGAGCAAAATGGATTCCAAGAAGGAGAGAGAGGCAGCCGTGCCACTGCCTGCTGTGTGACCTTTGGCAACCGCTTCCCACTGTGGCCTCAGTGGTTCTATATGGGCATCGGTCTGGTGGCTGTTGCCGGCTCTCCAAGCTTTGTGATTACCAGGAACGCCAAGGACCTGGGGCCACCCAGTCTCCATTAGAAAACTAAATCCTGAAGATGTGTACGCAACTTGACTGCCTATGAAATCTACTGTCTTAGGGGCCAGGCCTGCTACTCTCCAGGGGATGGGACGGGCAGGCACAGGCTCGCTGTGCTGTCTTTGAGGTGCCTGTGGCCTGTGGGTTGCAGGGCGGGGTGTCCCAGCTGTGGCAGGGAGAACACACGGAGCAGGCAGAAGGCGGACTGCATCCCTTCCCGGGAGAGCCCACTGCCTTTTTCTGGCTCACTCTTAGCTGCCCACGGAGGGCGGGAGGCTGCTCGGAGGTGGCCTGCATGCTCTCCATCTTTGTAGAAATAAATGGCCCATTCCCTCTGCTCTCCCAACCTCTGTCTTTTGTTCACCACTCCCTTCTTCCTCATTATCTGTCCCCCCTCTTGCTTCATTATCTATTGCTGCAGGGCACCTTCCTTTCTTCTGCTGCTGGGGATAAGTTTTACTAAACTCCCTGCATGGGGCATGCTGTGATGCATCTCATCTACAATAAATCACAGGTGGCCCTACCTGTGCCCATTGAGGTTCTTAGATAGTAGGGACAGGCAGATACATATTACTTTGGTTATTCAATCAAATATACATAATAAATGCCTGCTCTGTGCCAGACACTAGTTCAGGTCCTTTGGGGTCACAGAGATGAGTGAAACCTGATTCCTATCCTTATGGAATTCTGCTTTCATTCACAGCCAGATGTGACAAGGGCACACACTGGCAATCTGAGCATTAAAAGCTGTGCCTAAGAGCAGTCCAGTGGAGTCTTGGCTGCGCATATGTTGTCCACTTGGTGAAACTCCTCTGAGCCCCACCACATATACAGCGTTGGGCAGGGCGACGGGAAGCCTCTGAGGAGACCGGGCTTTTGATTGAGCCATCAGGGATGAGAAGGGGGTGCAGTGCAGCAAGTACTGCGCTGTTCTCAGGGTGTGCCCTGGGCTCGATGGTGGCAATGCACGGACGAATCTGTCACGCTCTTTCCTTGGGAGATCACAGTCCAGCGGTGGAGACAGATATACCAACAGATCCTTCAAAAATAACATAGCAAGTGATATGGGAGATATAAACTCTTACCACTCTGTGACCTCAGGCGAGGCACTGAGCTACTCTGAGACTCAGTTTTTTCATCAGTGAAGTACATGGATTAATAGGGCTCTTGGGAGTATTAGACTCATGTCATATGTTTAGCAAAGTGGCACACAAGAAGAACTCTGTGAACTATTATTATTATTAAAGTTATGTCTGTGTAGGAAGATTCATCTAGTGGCCTATTGTTTATTGAAGCCGAATGCTGCTGCTCTGAGCACATGTGACAACTGCTCCATGTCACTTCCTGTACCAACTGCTGTATTCCAGGGCCCAGGCAGGGAAACTGAGGCTGCCTGGCTCTGCTCTGGCTGTAAGACTTTTCCCAGATGTGATGCTGAAGTGCCTGACACCTTGCCATCTCTACTGGGCAGCTAGAGGGGTCCCAGAGATGCCAGAGTCTGTCTGAGTGCCTTAGAAAGGAGCAGGGGCAGGTCCTGGAGTCTGGCCGCCCAGGCCTGAGTAGACAGCAAGCTAATTCCAGTTCTGTCTGGTTCCACAGAAACTCCACCCTTATGGCTCTCTCCAGCAGGAGATGGGGCTGGCCAACTCAACCAATGCTACCCAGGATAGAAGCTTTACCTCACCAGGACAGACTCTGATTGGCTGAGCAAACCCAAGGGCGGGACTCTGCTTCTGGCAACTTAACCCTTTCTTGGGCATCCCCTACCACACAGTAACCTCACCTCAACTGGACCCAAAACTGAGGACCAAGATGGTGGGCCTAGGGTCATCCGAAGGGAGCAGCCCCCCAGGTGTGTGTGGACTGGATCAGAAGGACTGCAGCGGTGCGAGAGGCACTGGGGGTGCGCGCAGACTGGCTTCAGAGAGTCCCCAAGTGGAGAAGACTCAGAAACGTATTCCCTGCGAGGAAGAAGGAGGCGAAATAGCATCTGGGCTTCTGGTGATTCCAGTGCCTGCCTTCGGGGCAGCAGGAGAGGGCGGAAGAGGTCAGCCCTGGTGGAGAATAATGCCATGACCCTCCACTGCGAAGACGCCTTCACCCAGTCACTCATCTGTGCTCATTCCTTCCTTCCTTCAGCAGATATTTGGGGGCACCTGCCTTATGCCAGGCTCTTTGCTAGGAGCTGGGGGTACTGTGGAGAATGAGATGGGCATGGTCTCTGTTCTTGT